GCGTTACACCGCGGCATCCCACGCTTTGCATTGCACTTGGTGATGTGCGGCTTGGATGCAGCTGCTCGGCCATGGAAACCCATTCCATGAAGCTCTCTACGCACTGTTGTTGCGCCAATCTGACGGCCGCATGGAGTTTGGAGGTCTGTAGCTATTGGCTCTGCAGACAGTTGGCGACTTCTGCGCACTGTGCGCTTCAGCATGCGCTGACCCCGCTCTGTCATGTGACGTGGCCGACCACTTCCTGGCTGAGTTGCTGTTGTTCCCAGTTGCTTCCACTTTGTTATAATCCCAGTAACAGGTGACCGCGGCGGAATATTTAGTAGCCGGGAAATGTCACGGAACACCTGAATCACATGATTGGGAGGGGGCGGGGCCCAATACTTTGGGCAATATAGTGTATATATGATATGATAGGTGATGAGAGTTGTAGGACCTGGGAGGCCGCCAACCACAACATGGCGGTGCGTGGACAATCAGAGCAGGTGGCATCTACATGGACTTCATTCATAGGAGGCCATATTACTCACATAGGATTCTGATTGGAGATAAAGACTTACCACCTACACTCCCCCCCCCGCAGCCCATGCCAACTTACCCAGGCCAGGCGGGGAGTCCGGGCACGGAGGAATAGGCTTCTCGGTGATGGTCTGGTTGAGTTCCAGCTTGGCGCTGGGTGTGAAGACGTCGGTGGGCGAGGAGGCGGCGGGGTAGGTGTGAGCGGTGCCATTGGGCCGGGAGAAGTTGTAGTACGGGTGGGCACGGGAGGAGTTCCTGACATTGAAGTGACTGAAGAAGTCCAAACGTTGGGCGTAGACATCGAAGTAGAGGATCATGATAATGACAAAGTGCACGAGGCAGAGCAGGAGGACGGCCTTACAGATCCTCTCTAGAGTGACGCCCAGCAGCAACCTGGTCATCTTCTGACGTGGGGGAGGTCAGGCCGGACACCATGTGACCCCGAGGGCTGGGAGTCCAGCGACGTCCATATAAGGTTCGCGTCCTGTACGGGAGACAACAGGAAATCATATTAATATTATTAAATAGTTATAAAGTTACATTATAATAATAACTAGCCGAATATTTCCGATATCGGACCGCGCGGCTATCAGAACACGCAAAGGACTCAATCACACCACAAACATACATGTGCAGCGCTTCATTCATAAAGTGATTTCTCCCGTGTGTATGTATCGGGACCTTTCCTGCAGAATGTACCGGGATGTGCCGACAAATGTTTTATTAATAGATATAAAACGTATCAATGTGCATGTTATTCTATCACACCTCTGCGTACATGCGTTCGTCCATTGACATGCGTTGCATTAAGGCCGCGCATTCACTCTGTACGTTCACAAGGAGCTCCATCGCGGGAAGAAACGCACCGGCACTGGTTTTGGCCAATGCAGCGCAGACCCCAGAGACAGAACCTCGTCCAGGAGACAGAACCTCATCCAGGAGACAGAACCTCGCCCAGGAGACAGAACCCAGGAGACAGAACCTCATCCAGGAGACAGAACCTCGCCCAGGAGACAGAACCTCGCCCAGGAGACAGAACCTCGCCCAGGAGACAGAACCTCATCGAGGAGACAGAACCTCGTCCAGGAGACAGAACCCAGGAGACAGAACCCAGGAGACAGAACCTCGTCCAGGAGACAGAACCCAGGAGACAGAACCTCATCCAGGAGACAGAACCCAGGAGACAGAACCTCGTCCAGGAGACAGAACCCAGGAGACAGAACCTCATCCAGGAGACAGAACCCAGGAGACAGAACCTCGTCCAGGAGACAGAACCCAGGAGACAGAACCTCGTCCAGGAGACAGAACCCAGGAGAC